TAAAAAACAAAAAACTAACTTTCACGTAAAATTCTTATATTTCATGGTCTAATGCAGTGGTGTGGTTGTGGTTCTTTTTTTTTCAAAATAGTGCATCGTAATTTAATCCGCATATTGTCTCTTACTGTATATTATAATCAATATTTATTTAACGTGTTAATTTTATGAAACAATTTTGTTAATTAGGCTTAAGCATAGTGTGATACCAGGCGACGGGATCTCATGAGTATAATTAATATCTTTGTATCTTTCATTCTTATCTTTTACGCACTCTACCTACGTCGATCTAAGCTTGTATTTTACGAAATATAACTCAGTGCTTAACATTTCAGGGATCAATGATTTTCTGTTTTAACCAGCTATTAATGCATATTTGTGGCTAATGTGTTTTAATTTTAGTACGAAATTTTGTGATATTATTTATTAATATTTGTGCACTCCACAACAACAGGTATACAAGCGTTCTCAAGGCCCAGCTTCAAACGCAAGACAAATGCCATTTCCATCCAGACAACTACGGAAATTTCAGACATTAGTAGTCCAAGCAGAGTAATTTCATCAGATAAACGTCGCCAAGGACAAAAATATAACTCAAACAAAGTTACCTCTTATAATATTTATCAAATTGATTCTCGTCCATATAAGCCTGCAGTAACAGATTATGATTACTACGATGACGAAGAACAAAGATTTGTTGATAAACCAAACGACAAAATTTATATTACAAGCAGAGGTATTTTAAAATGTCTAGATCAAGGTAACTTTGCGCATCCAGTTTCGTGCAAAAAATTCATTTCTTGCGCTAAAATGGTAAATGGTAAAATCATTGGGACAGAGTACACTTGTCCACCTAAATTATCATTCGATCCGGTTGGTGGAATGTGCAATTGGTCAGCAGGACTTGGATGTACCGAATAACTCATTGAAAATGTAAATCTTATCATCAATAGCATGTGTTATTGAGTTAGCATACAGTAATGAGTGTATATTTCCATATGTTGGTTTTTAAATGCGTCAGATTTAATTAATTAACAATAAAAATATTAAATTTTACGAAAAGCGTTCATAATTAAAAATTGTAATTTTCAGATGGTAAGACGTTATTAAAAAGTTGTAAACAAATATCACAAATAGTTTTGTGCTCATGAATTTCAATTTTTTTACAAATTACGTAAAACTTTTATTAAAATTGTAAATTACCATTATTGTTGTTTACTGAAACCACTAGAAGTTTGGAAAAATGTAAAAATACATCATTAATTGCGATGTGTGATAAACAATATACGCTAAATTATGTATTTATACGGTTGATATGTTAAGCCATCTTCATGCTATTGATATTCTAGAAGCATACTTTTATAAGTAAATTTCTGAAAAGTAATGTATAGGATCTTTCTACACTTTTTTTTTTATTTTTTTTTTTAATGTACTGTAAATATTTTTGTTGTAAATCTCGCAGTCAATGTAAATATAAGAGTAACGTTATGTATAAGCAGAATTTACAATATTAAAGTACCAGTTTGAGAGCGACATATTAATTTATAAAATAGATATTTTAAATGTAACTTTAACAAGCAAAGATGATCCAGTTCGGGATACCGAGACTTTAAGCGAAAAAAGGAAAGTCCATAGACAACGCATTGTAGTTAATTGAGGTTCGAAAAAACACCTACCCAAAAATATTTCTGCTCAAAGAAGATGGGTAAAGAAGAAAGTAGTTCGGAAGAGAATTATACGATCGAAATTGAAATCACCGACGAATGATTTGGAGAGCAATATTTCACAGCATCTCTAGCATGCACAATCCATGGTTCCTAGAGGTCAGTCTCGAATAAAAAAAATAAATAAATAAGTAAAAAAAAAATGAAATGAAATGAAGAGACAAAAAGCCACGAAAAATAACGAGTGCCTTCGCTATAATAACCACTTCTTTATTCTTACGATGCCTCATCCATCTTTTAATTATATTAAAAAATCTAATACACTGCTTTTAATTTGTCAATGTTGTGCTGTATAACTATTCTGCTATAAAAAAATTTAAATAATTATTCTCACTTTTAAAGCAGTTTTTTCTGTAGGACAGTTTAGTTACCAAATTTAATATTTTACACATGGCCTTGACCTACCACTTCACAAATTCAACAGTACTTTTCACTTAACAGTTAAGCTGTACAAGATCAAAAATATTGATCAATCTTGGTTCAAGCACACTGACTATGTAGAAAGTTTACACGTATATCATAAAGTACAATTAATAACACTAGAAATCTTTCCGCTTTTGTGCAACATTAGAATATTTACATATGTATTAATTTTTTTTTATTAACTTATATGCCTACGCACTTTCTACATGACATATTATATTTTCGTGTGTATACATTCACGTAAAAGATGTGCAGGTTATATTAATAAAGTATCAAAGTTTTTTTTTATAATAAATAACGATCAAAACAGGTAAAGCCCCCCAGGAATCCAGGATTTAACTTGTATCGACGACCAGGAACACCATCGCTACCTCGCGGCACTTTTACAGCAATACCGTCCGCGAAGTTACCCCTAAAGACGAAAATCTATCCGGTGCAATTAGATATCGAGAATTCACGCGTTTTAGGATTAGTGGCTGATCAAAATGGAAATCCCCAAAATTTGGATCTCATACTAGCCAACACACCAGCATCGATTTCCTCGACAACTGACTCGGGTATAGAACAACCGTCGGCTACAATTTTTATAATCTTGTGAAAGTTAATTTAAGTGGTTGAGAATTTCTGTGTTTATACTATTCGTCATATTTGTCTGTATCTTTTCTCAGTCGTGTCTTACAGACTGGAAGGTGATCTTTAATAATTTTCTTCACAATTAAACGTGTGGCTATGGATTGCGTTTACTTTTATAAAAAAAAAATAAAAATAAAAAATAAAAAT